TCGGCCTGTTCCATCTCCGCCGAAGGTACGTATTTGTGCATCTGGAAGAGCGAGGAGTCTGACGAGATCCCAGCAGACTGGAGCGCCTCGTCCCACCCCTTCTTGAAGAACTCCTTGCTATTTTCCTCAAGAGCGGGGAACACGTCATCGGCAAACTCTTCTCGGAGTTGCTCCTCGGACTTCCGGTTCTATGCCTCAGCCCTGATCCTGTCCAGCTCCTGGGTCAGAGCCAGACAACTTTCCTCTGAACCAACAGCCCTCTCCTCCGCCGCAAAGAGCCGCTGCGTCTACTCTGTGATCCTCCTCTCAGCGTCGGCAAGGGCAGCACTTAGCTTTTCAGCGCCGACCTTCGCCAACCCGGTANCCTCTCCTCCGCCGCAAAGAGCCGCTGCGTCTACTCTGTGATCCTCCTCTCAGCGTCGGCAAGGGCAGCACTTAGCTTTTCAGCGCCGACCTTAGCCAACTCGGCATCCTTGAGGAGTTGCTCGATTTGAGCAGCCTGCCCCGCGAGGGTGGAATCCCTGGCAGCTACGTCCTCCTTAGCACTGGCGAGGGCTCCCTCCGCTTCTTCCTTCTCCTCTCGAATCCGCTGGAGGTCCATCCTAGGCCCATGATACCATGCCGCTATTATAGAAATCTGTTGGGAGGCCTGCAAAGGAAAGGGCATGTCACTAAAAAGAAAAGCGGCTAAAAAGACTGAAGCAAAAATGAACTTACCACTAGGGAATTCTGGATGATAGAGCGAAACAACATGTTCGTTGATCGCCCCCTGTGAGCCACCATGTTGGCCTCGAAATGCAGCGTCTCACTCACTGCATTAGCGACATGGGGGTCCTGCAAAATGGAGTCGTCGACCCTGATCACTCGGTTCATGTGATCAGTGGCTCAAGGATTCCACTCTGCAGCTTCCACTACCTGCGGAAGGGGAAGAGGAGTCTGCTGTTGCTGCTGTTGCTGTTGTTGCTGTTGGTGCTGAGGAGCGGGAGGTAACCCACGACCTCTCCCACTTTGCTGTTGAGCGGAGGGGGCCTTGGATCCCCTGCCAAGGCCGTCGTGCCTATGTTTGACCCTTCTCTCCTCCTCTACNGAGGTAACCCACGACCTCTCCCACTTTGCTGTTGAGCGGAGGGGGCCTTGGATCCCCTGCCAAGGCCGTCGTGCCTATGTTTGACCCTTCTCTCCTCCTCTACCTGGGGATCCTAGTCACGCACTTGCCCCCGACTGACGACTCTTGAGGATGGGGTGGCGCTAGTCCCTGCAGATGGGGCCCCACCGGCCGATCCTCGTCCCTTCTCGACAACGAGGGCTTGCCTCTACCTTAGGAACCCTAGATCAATACGGGGCGTGCTGGACATAGCTACCTCGAGGGCGTCCTCGGCGTCTAGAGATTGTAGGATTTGAAAGTCCGGCCATGAATCTCTCCCCGAAGTCCCCACCTCGGCGTGCGAAGGAACCAAGTCCTCTCTGACCCCGAGCTCTTCAACTTCACCCTCTACTTCTGCCTCCGAAGCCCGATCAGGGTCTTCTTCCAAGTTCTCCTTGACCTCTTGCCTCACCGCCTGATCGAAAAGTTCAGACCACCGTGAAGGCTCGAAAGGCTGGGGAAGTTGTGAAAACTTTTTATATCCGGGAGTGTAATTCAGAAGGATGTGCACAGCCCGACCGAACCCGTCGTCACCAGTAAATCTCCAAACTGTGGCTAGGTCGGCAAAGTTCACCAACGACCGAGGGGGAGGAGCTGTTTTCCGAGCAGGGACATCTGCACAAACAAAAAAGAGGGGAGTCATGAACATAGAAAATCTCAAGAATAAAATAATAGACCCGAAGGAACCGACGTACTTATCGTTCTCCATTCTAAAGGGCATAATAAGCCGTTATACTCGGGATCGACACCTCTCTGCCAAGATCCCTTGAAAATAAGTAGGTCGTCCTTGTACCCCTTGTCCGAGTCAGGAAGATGAGTTATGAGGTACATAGATGGGTCCCTGGCTTTGAGGTAGAAGTGTTGTTGAGGCATGACTCTCAAGAGGGAATAGCAAAAAAGGAGATCGTTCAGCCCAACATTTACCTCGAGACGCCTATTGAGCTCTAGGACCCCCATAATTATTCTGAAGACATTAAGGCAACACTGCCCGGGGAAGAGGTGGGAATGGGAAAGGAACTAGAGAAGTAGAGGGGGCAAAGGGAACCTAATTCCGCCCTCTATGGTGGCTTTGGTATAAAAGGGCATTGCATCCTCGGCCCCCGAAGGTACGAGAGTGCACAGCCGAGTTATAATCCTCTATGTCTATGTACGGGGGGATGTTGTACTTGACCCTAAACCTATTAATTTGCTCACCACCCTTTACTTTATACTTTCCTGACCCCGAAGAACTGACCTGAGGATTCTCGGGTGCAGGACGACGACGAAGCATCTCAAAGAAAATGAGAGAAAGTGAAGGAGGGTGTTTTACCCTCAAAGATCCCCAAGGAAGCTTCCCGAGGATTGGTCGCTAAGTGGCAACCAGAGACACCTTCAGTTATCGAAAAACCAAAAAGGACAGAAGGACGAAGAGAGGAAAGATACTGAGACTCATCAGAATGTAAAACAGAGTTTTTTCTGGAAAACTTGAGGTGACTCCTTCTAGAATGTTCAGAAGCAACGATGGGTCTGCTAGCCTGAAGACTTCAGGGAAAAGGTTGGGCAGTTGACAACAGAAGGAAAGAGATCTCCGACGAAGATTCAGGCAAGGGCTCTCTTGAGAAAGTTCGGAATGATGAAATGAGAAAAAAGGAGAGGAAACCTATTTATATAGTACCAATCTCATCATTGGGCGCGAAGCACGAAAATACGCATTTAATGTGCACGATGTCCTAAGCAGGGGAAAACGGCTAAACGCAATGATGAAGCAGATGAGGTTGTTGTAAAACCCTTCGTCTCCTTACGACGCGTGTCCTCGGCGTCAGAAGATCGAAGGCTGGAGGGCAGTTGATGGGACATTTCCGAAATACTCCAAGACGAAGACACGTGTCCTCGGTATCACTAAATCCTGTTACTGAGATCACGTACCCATCGGTTCACAAGTCCCTCTCCCCCGAGGTACTTTGTCATAGGGATCAAGTGGCATCCAGTACGTTTACGAACCGACACGTATCCCTCGGTCTGATATGGGTACATCGGTCGCTATATGCACCTCCCCTCGGCTCCGAGATGAACTTCCCCCTCGGGTCCGAGATGTACCTCCGTCCAGGGTGCGTTCTCTGCTCCTACAGAGGCTATTGATGTACAGGTCACTAGCCTAGGCTAGACTAGGTTAGCTATCATGACCTCGTTTTACACAATTGGTGTCAGAAGGCACAAGAAGGCAGGGGCCATAACCAATGGGGAATGGACGCGTGACATATTGTGTCACATCAGAGACAGAAAGACCGCATGTCCTTACTGACACACGACTTGAGAAAGCAAACATTTAATTACACCATTCTCTTGATGAGACTGCATTCAATGCGGTAAGGCTCGGAAGTGAAAGACAATAAATGTCTCTAAGGCTGGACATTTATTTCATCCTCCCCGGGAGGAGCTCATTGAACAGTCGGCAGCCCGATGACACAACATTGATTGCTCGGGATCCTGAGCAGTTAAAAGAGAAGACATTCCTCATCGGAATCATTGCGCACATTGCCTGTACCTAATGATCACCTACTAACTACACTGACAGCAATCATGAGTTTTTGAGGTATAAATACTCCTCGCAAAAGGCAAGATGGTATGCAACGAAAAACCTTTGCTACAATACATACTCAGTGTTTTCTTCTTCATCTCTCTCTCAAAAACTGACTTGATCGTCGGAGGGGATAGGCCGGAAAACACTCCGTCGCCCTTCTAACTTGTTCTTTTTTGTTCCAGGAACCTTTTTCAGCCTTACTGGATCGTTCCATTGATCCACGAGGGTCTCACATTACCGTTCCAGGTTACCACCGGACCTCACAGGCTGTTCCAAGCAGCGAGGTTAACCACTCGACTGACTCACTCGAGTTCACCAAGGGAGAGATCTGTTCTCGTGTTTATATTGTGCAAGATCTAGCACGCACATTAATGATAATGGTAGTGATATTTTTCTAAGTACTAATCATTCTGTTTCAGAAATTTTGTATACCATGTGAATGTCTCGAGCATTAGTTGTAAGTTGAGTTTTTGGGCCTAATTCAAGGCGAACAATATTGTGTACTGTGAGTTCGAAATGTCACAATTTTTCTTTTGATAATTATGCCTTTGCCTCTTCAAAAGTTCACTTAAAAAGGTACCAACAGTGGAAAAGTTATTCATTTATTTTTTTTTTAGGTTCAATAATCTGGTGTATCCGGACCAGTGCACCTCGACTTATCCTTTCCCTAGTTCGATTAGAAGCAGATTATCTATGTTGAGATTAAGATATTAATGAGAGATCCCTTATGAGGTGACCTGACAAAGCTATTGGAGTGAAGGGTTCTTAACTTTTCTACTCAATTTCAAGTTAGGACTCCATTAGATTCAGAAATTTATCTTACAACATTCTCTATAACATGCTGCATTTTTTAAAGCAATGATTTTTTATTTTATACATATCTGTGTATCAATACCTCAAAGAACCAACACTTTTGTTAGATTAAAGTTCCGTTGTATCGGAATTAGGATCTCTGTTGCAAATCTTTCTACTGGGAAAGCCTCGCTTATTCAAAGGCCTTATTATTGATAACTAAGTAAGCGTTGGTAGGAGTAGATCCCTCCCCAGTTTTAAGAAGCAGAGTATAAGCTTCATAGTCTGCTTTGGCTTGCTTATCCACTTGCACAGTTTGCTAGTAACTTGAAAGAGAAAAAGGGAAATTCAAGTGGCAAAATAATATTATTGAGATGTTCTTGCATAAACTTATTATAATCCGAAAGTTACAAAGACTTGATCCACTCTTCTTCTCTTAACTCCACAGAAATGAGCAAATCATAATTCAGAAATCAATGTAAATGCCAAAACTGGACAAAACAAGTCAGTAGAAAAATGGATGCGAGGAAGCGAAATTGGAAAAACAGAGAAAACACTTCAGGCAATTTGGGCAGAGAAGGTATGAAGATCAGCATTTGGGAAGATCTGCTGGTGGAGGAAGGAGCTTTTGATTGGGAAGCTTTCCATCTAAGACAAGCCATGCCATCTTCAAACCCCAGCTGGTGTGGACTTCCAGGTGGCAATGCATGAACCATACACCTATTGCCATACATGTATTGTGTTAACCATTATTATCACTTGAAACAAATCAACAAACATTCCCATTTAGCATAGCTCAATTGCAATTCTGAAAAGACATTATTATGTTACTTCTGCAAATAACTATATAATCCTATAACCTGACATTGCATAGAAAGTAAAACGTGTCATTTAATGCACGAGTTTTCAACCATTGGTGCAGCCTTATCTAGTAAGGGGAGAGATTGTTTCTAAAATACCCATATTACTTTGAAGCAACCTTATTGCTACTCTAAGACTCGCATAACAACTATATTAAACAACGGGTGAAAAAATTATAATGGTGGTAGAGGAAAAAACAATAGTGCTCCCATCCATGAGGATGACTGATAGAGGAAAAAAATTTCAAACCAGGTTAAAAAAAAAAGAAATTGAAAAAAATATATATATTTGCGATGAAGCGTGCAAATTCTTGTAATAATGGCTACTTGAATATTTGCATGCATGCTTTGAGAAGTATAATTAGAACTTATTAGCTTGTATATTATGGTGTTTAATTCAACTTACCTGGGTTATCTGCCAAGAACCGTATAGCAACCCACCCGCCGGAGGGCACACCAACAGTGTTCCTTTCGACAGGGTCGACGAGATTGAAGTTTTTAGGGTCCTTATTCGGATCATAGTTCCCGAATCCTTGACCAACAACAAAGAAGTTGAAGCCATGGAGATGCAGAGGGTGGCTCTCAGCACCAAGAATGCTTGTGTCCTGCAGGATTAGCTCCACACTGGTGTTAAATTTCAGAACCATAACTTTGGTTCCATTGCCAACCATGGTGTTGTTCGGAGGGTTTCCTGTATAGTTAAACCAGTGAGTCGGATTGATCGGAAAGTATGGGCTGTAAACGCCGGTGGATTGGCCGGAGAAGTGGGATTGGAGGAGGGCAGTTGTTGGTTGTATAAATGATATGTTGTTAATTGAAGCTGCAAACTTGGTTCCATTGGGACCTTGGCAGGTTTGGTTTTGCTGGCAAGGGTTTGTTCCTAGGCCTACAGTGAAGAAAAAGTGCTTATCAACTTTCCGGGGAACGTTTGCTGGAAATTGAGCACTGGCTAAGCTATGGAGCCTGTTGGTGAAGTTGGTGGCGAAGGAAGTGTCATTGAGAGGAGGTAGGGTTGGTTTGAAGAGAGGAAGCTTCTTCATTGAGACAGTTGAATGAAGGAATGGTGGTTCATACTCAAGAATACCGGCGACGGTGGAGTTGTCGAAGGTTCCGAGGCCGGTGGCGTATGGTCTAGCTTCCATGAGAAAAGTGGCACTTGGGAAGTGAGGTTTGGTCTTGAGAAGAACATTGCTGGTCTGTCCAGGGGCAATGAGAATTGTGTCCGTCTCGAAAGGTTTAACATAAATGGCATCGACATCAACAACTGTGAGAGTGTGGTTTGCAATGCTGAAGAAGAGCTCATCATTTAGTGCTGCGTTGATAAAACGGAGAAGGTAAATCTTTCCAGGCTTCACCTTCAGCTTGAATGTATCTGTCAAAATCAGCCAGAAATAATCAGATAATCGGTGTTGGTATTGCCGATACTTTCAATCGTGATCTAATTATGCCAAAAGATTGCAGCATTTCATACCATTTGCAGAACAGTTGTACAAAGGCCCGGGAAATCCATTGATTGTGTAGGCATCAGAGACATTTGGACCACCACCAGTTTGCAATGCTTGGCTAATAATGGCCTCAGGATCAGCATTGAACCATTCACCTGCAAATAATTTATATCAGACGGTCTCGGTAAATTTGGAATTCAATAAAAGGGTCTAGGGAATTTTAATGCATTTCACTTGTGGATAGTGTATAATTACCAAAGATGATGGGAACTTCCTTATAGGGTTTTGCAAATGGGTAAGAGGCATTACGCTTGGGGAGGATAATTATAGGACCATAGACTGTTGATCTTAGCCACGAAATATGGGCATGCCAGAAGAGTGTTCCTCTTTGGCCCACAATGGTGTAGTTGTAGACATAGCTTTGGCCAGTTTGAATAGGGCACTGAGTTATATATGCTGGTCCATCAGCCCAACCACTGCGAAGCTGTCGAATGCCATGCCTGTTTCACGAAAAACATAGTAGCACATTAGGTTTTGGTGTTTGACGCTGGCAACAAAGTACTATTCCCCTATTACATTGCTCCCAATTCTGTAACATTCATGGCTGAAGGACATGATATCGGTCATCATCTCGGAAAATACTGCCACATATCGGTAGTGACAAGGCGAAATAGGATCGGCTAACACTATGATTCGTTGATGATTACTTGCACGACTTGACCCTATTATTTTATACGTCTTTAAGTGCACCACCAGTCGAGACAGTCCTGGTTTACGCAGAATATATATCGGTCTTGAAATAGATGTGACATTCAGAATACGACTCAGACATAATGATATTGATTTCGTACNGCAGAATATATATCGGTCTTGAAATAGATGTGACATTCAGAATACGACTCAGACATAATGATATTGATATCGTCCAATACTTTGAACCAAGATCTCTAATGACTATGTACTACAAAGTTGAGTTTCATACCAGTGGATGGAAATATTGTTTGAAACATGGTTAGTGACATTGATGAGCAGACGGTCACCCTCTCTGGCTACAATGCGAGGCCCAGGAAACAGCCCATTCACAGTCACCATGCTCTTTGTGTGGCACAGTCGTGACACATTTTGCAACTTGATCTACAAAAAGTTTCAAATTGTGAAGAAACGAAATGAACATTATATAATTCGAACAATACTAGATCAAAAATATTTTAGTGCCAAGGTCACAGAACGACATACATTGAACTCGTAATGCCTGGTTTTGCCGAATGCAGCCTGAGGAAGGAGGCACAATGTTATCAGTGACAGCAGAATTTCCATTGAAGCCAGTGATGAAAGAGCCTGAGGACCCATTTCTCTTCTCTCTGTCTTTCACTTGAAAGAAGCTAAAGATTCTAATGGGTGAACTTCAACCTTCTCTGGGATACTGCTTCCTCAAAGCCTTTTAGGTTGTGTATATATAGGTGCTGAAGGGGGTGTTTGGTTGATTGAGTGATGAAGATGTTATAGTTTTGAATATAGAAGATGAAACTAGAAGACTTTCTGGAGATATTATGCTTGGTCCAACTGAAGTTGGAGAATGACTTTAGAGTGATGTCAAAGATAATCTACAGCTCACCTATTTATTTTTTATCTAACGATTTAGTTTGTTTGTCCTTCCCTCTCTTCCTGTCAAACCTTTCCTTAGTCGTGATGCTATGGTTTCCAAATACAGTGAGACTGTGTATCGTCTCAACAATATATTTTTAAACTTAATTATTTCAACACAAACATCGAATGTCCATAACAATCCCAGTGACCGTGCACATTCATTATAACTAAACCTTACACAGTGAAAGGACTCAAACTTAGCATGTAAACATCTGGAAATCGTATTTCGACTATTAAGTAAAGAGTAATGTTATTGGAACTTAATTTATTGACATAATTTGTTGATTTAATTTATTGTGACCTTTGGATTGACTGTAGGTCTCATCAAATATTGAAACTTGATATTGATCCAATGATTCTTATAATACTACATCATTATGTCAACAAATTAAGTCAAATTTTTAGGTCCAGATAACATTATTCCTAAATAAATTTATACAGGGTTTAGACCCTATCTTGACTATCTTGTGCATGATAACTATAGAACTTAACTACCCTCTTGCATATTTCTCCTTCAGAACTTCAAAATTTAAGTGTCTCTTAAAAACAATTTAGGCCTCGGTTCTCTTTCTGACCTGGGATATAGTCTTGATTTGCATTCTGTTGATCTAGTTTCTTTCTGGCGTCAAGGGCCTCATGGCCAACTTGTTTTCAAGCTTGGTAATGCATGTTTGGCCCCCATTAAGATACAATACATTACGTTTTTTGTTGTAACTTTGTGATTAAATTATGGTTATAAGGAACATAGTCATGCATGCAAGATAGATCCATCAACTTTTTTTTGTTTTTCTAATCAAGGAGTCATTTTAAAGTCAGATATATGCAAAACCATTGTCGTTTTCAAGACCTAGACGACCTATATGAATCCTTGGAGAAGCTAGCAGAGGTTGGCGGATGAGGTATTGTCACCAGGCAAATAGGGTTTCGAAGCAATGGAAGTTATATATAAAAATGGACCATGCCAATTGGATGTGAATTTTATGGGTGTTGCTTTTGAATTTGTGAGACTACGACTACTCAAAAATTGTTTTATGTTGGCAAGAGATTTTTTTGTTTCTTTTTAATTTCTCTTTCTTTTTGTGTTGTTTTTGTTTGGTTAATAAATATAATTGATGCTTATGGTCTTATCTCAGACAAGCATGACGGGCCTATAAAGTTGCAGATTTTTGCAAAGAAGTGGACTTGATGGAGGTTTGGATTTTTGTTTTTCCGGTCAAGAAGTTAGGGGTTGGCATAGTGGAGTTTTCTAATGCTAGATAGATTTAAAAATTAAATTAAAAAATTAGACTTGATAATCTTAACCATTGAATAGGTAGTGAGTCCCAATAAATGTTGAGACCTACGGTAAAATCAATAATTATAATTATCGAGTCTGATTTTTAAATTTACTTTTTAAATATACGTAACATTACTTTTTTCTATTTCCTGATGGGCGAGGTTGTGTTGGTGCTACTGGGCAGAGGTTTTAAGGGGTGGTTCTTATGTTTGGGAGGGGACAGAATGACGGGTGAATTGTTGAGAGATGTCAATCTGATGGGCCACTGGTGGGGTGCATGATTCTCGCTATTGCAAAAAAATTATACGTTTCCGTGCATTGCACGGGGTACAGTTAGTACTAGCAGAAGGGGTGATATTATAATACAATCAAGGTATATTATATCATTATTTTATAATTGTTCCCTCAATCTAAGAAAAAATCATGTGATCATTCAGTCTTATTTATTTTAAGAAAAATTACGTAGACATACTGACTTAATTACAAACAACGACATTAAAATAAACAAATACGGATATCCAAAATACACTTTTACACAATTAAAACATGCTTGTTTAATTTCAATATTATTTAAAAATATTCATAATAAGTAATATTTACATAATTTTTGGTTCTATTCATATAGTCCTGTAAAATATTGGATCACTACAAGGGATTAGATTGGAGATGATTGAGGGGATTTGATTCCACACATTTTAATACCATTGAATAAATCGTCTAACTAAATATTATATCAGACTCGATATTTATTATCCAACTCTTAATACCGTACTTAACAAACGTTTGACTAGAATTAGTTTTATCGTTATCCCCTATTTAATCTTATATTTTATCCATCGATCCAGGATTATCTTGTATTATCTAATATAGTCCTTATTTTCTTAATACGACATCCAAATGATTCCTTTAGGTATTAAGATAGAGTAATTGAAAAAAATAATGTAGTGCCCACCTTATTCCACTTACACCTAGGGCTATCAATTTTTGACACGTTACAAACTGAACACGAAATTAATGGGTCCAACAAGAAATTAAACGGGTCAACATGTTTAAATACGAAAAAAAAACATGTTGGGTTCATGTCAAAATCAGGTCAACCTAATTTTGACTTGAACCCGTATATTGTAAAACAAGTTGACATGCTTCAGATATGAACTCGACCTAGCCCATTGTTGACCTCGTTTAACCTATTTATGACAATATAGTTTGCCTATTATGTATGATTGATATGATTTTAACATTATTATGAAAGTATACTAGTATATTTCTTACTTTAATTTTTGGGTTGAAACTTGAATGCATTTTAGTTAATTTCATTGATGAGATGTGATATATTATTGGTGAAAGAAATTTTGGATGAATTGAATGATGTATTTAATGGTATGAACAGATGTGAAAACATGTCATGAGGTCATGTTATGTGTATTAACTTGAACGATCTATTTATTAAACGTGTCAAATATGTTGGGTTCAGGTAACCCATTTAATGGGCATGTCAGGTTAGTATTTACATATCTCGACACGATTATTAAACAGATCAGGTTTATGTTTTGAAATTTTTGACACAAATTTGAAGCCAACCCGACAGGATATGACTAAACCCGACACGTTTGATACTTCTACTTACACCCATGTTTGGATACACATTTTGGGCCCCATATTATTACCTATAAATAGTACAAGGCCCAGATGAATATTGATTTATAGCCACATACACCTTCTTAAAAAAAGAGGGATTTGGAGGCCGATCTCTAGGCCCAATAGGATTCTAAAAGAAATTCACTCGCCAATTTTTTTTTTGAATTAAGTCCCTATTGAAAAGTTAAAGCAATGAACAAAACTAACGCCCATTACAATTGCAAAAAATAACGACAATGTCATCACCTAATTTAAACACCTATTCTAAAAAGCTATGTTATCATAATGTATATGTTTTGCCATAAACACAAATCGTAACGCAAGTACATTAAAAAAAATAGGTATAAAATTAAAAAATATATAAATACTTTCGAGCCAAAAAATAACAGGTACACAATAAAAAAATAAAAAATAATTGGTATGCAATAATCAATAGACAGGTATGATGATGCACAAAAGTTGATTTATTCCCACCTATCGAGTAATTAATATAGGTAATAAATGTAGTAAATGTAAAGATGAAATCAACACAAGCAATATACAGATTTAGAGTGGTTCGGTCAGAGTGACCTACTCTACTTTGAAGGTGGCAACGGTGGCCAAAAAACTTTATTGATAAAGTTGTAGGTGGGAGAGAGAGAGAAAACAAGAGTAAGCTCTAGGTGTGGAGACCTATCCCTTATGTGTAGAGGGCTTATAATTTATAGGCACAGAACCTTAGTTAAGGTAGTGGCATAAGGGATAGGTCATTAATCCTTTAGAGAGGATAACTACAATTAAGGATAGGGACAATAAAAAATAGTCTTGATCTTTGAGCAGTGGTTATCCCGAAGTTTACTCCCTACGTGCATTGACCACCTTAGGACTCTTGAAAGTTGAATTGGGCTAAGGCCATGAGTTGGACCTAACCTGCCTTTTGATGATTTGGGCTCAACCCTTGAACGGGGCCCAAGCCTGGTTTAAATCTAAACTCATCATTTGCCTCTATGCCCCAAGCCCCAATAATGATTAGGAGTTGAGGGCATAAGTGAGCTCATTCATTTTAATAGACTAGATATCTTGTTTCATACAATGGCTTCTTCAACTTTTCACTCAATTGCATTTTTTTGGAAACTTGTTTTTCCATTTAGTAGTGTTATTGTTGGAGAGAGGACAAAGGAAGCACGGACGCCTCGGCGCATGGAGATAGAAATGCTTTGGCGAGTGGCGCCTTGGAAAGGGAGAGAAGCTTGGGTGACACCATGGATATGAACTTGGGCTACACCAGGGGTGTCGTGAGCTGATGATGTCTTCGGCTTATGAAAATTTTCTTTTTCATTTAGACTCCACAAGGGATCTCGTGGTTGATAAATCAATGGTGGAAACGCGGGCTCTCTGTGTAACTAGGATGACAACTTCCCCTCATTCCAAGAGGGCAAGATCTGATGCCCCTAGCACTTTCCATCTAAGGTCTGATGGCCTTGTTGTTTCTCGGAAGGTAGGGTTTGATGGTGTCCCTACTTCTTCTCAGCATATGACCTTTTGAGTCCTAGGGTTAGTCATAGGACTACTTTAGAGATTGAGACTTTCTTGCAAACTTTCATTAAGACAAGAGCTCCGCGTAACTGTCTTGCTTCCAACAGTGACTCAATGCCCATGATGCAGGACGTGAATTTTGTTGAGAAGCATCTTTGGAGGTTTGTGACAATATTGAATATTAGAGAGGTCGGCTCTTAGGGTTTTGAAAGTAACATCGATACCATGATGAAGGGTTTTGCTATAGTACCCTCCTTTTCTGTGCAACCTTGTCTTCTGTATGTTTTGATCATATTGACATTCGGATATTCGCAGATGGCTGGGGCTTTTCAGTGCCTTTAAGGATGCTCAATCTCGATGAGTTGTCGAGAGCTTTGGCGGCTGAAAAACTGGCATGCCAGGCCGTTGAGGAGTAGTTAAGGTTGAGAGTGACACATCTTAAGGCCGAGTTTTTGGAGACTGAGGTTGTTTGTTTGTAAGCAAAGTCAGAGTTAGGCCTAACTTATGGCGACTTATGAGAGAGCCATTAACCTGGAGATTGAGCCTGCTTGCGTAAGAGAAGATGCAGAAAGAGGTCGAGCTTTTGACGACTCATGAGAGAGGTGCTAAGTTGAAACATAGGTTGCTTGCATGAGAGCAGACGAAAAATGAGGCCAAGCTTTTGGCAACTTATGAGAGAGCCGTTAAGCTGAAAACATAGACTACTTGCATGAAAGCAAAGACAGAAATAAGCCGAGCTTTTGGCAAGCTGGAGACATTGGCTACTTACGTGAGAACAAAAGCAGAATGAGGCTAAGCTTTTGATGACTCGTGAGAGAGACGCTAAGCTGAAAACATAGGCTACCTACGTGAAAATAGAGGCAGAGTTAGACCAAGCTTCTGGAGACTCATGAGAGAGTCGTTAAGCTAGAGACATAGGCTGCTTGCGTGAAATCAGAGGCAGATTGAGGCCAAGTTTCTAATGACTTTTGAGAGAGCCGCTAAGCTAGAAACATAAATTACTTGTATGAGAGTAGAGGTAAAGTGAGGCCGAGCTTCTAGCGACTTATGAGAGAGCCGCTAAGTTGGAAACATAGACTGCTTGCATGAAAATTAGAGGTAGAGTTAGGTCAAACTTCTGACGACTCATGAGAGAGCCGTTAAGCTGGAGATATAGATTGCTTGCATGGAGCAAAGACAAAAAGAGGCCACCAGGCACTAGGCTCTCTCCCAAGAGATGGAGATAAGGAGAGAGGAGATAGTGAGGGCAGCCAGAAGGCGTTGGTTGGATAGAGCTAGAAAACATGGGCGTCAATCGTTGGAGACGAGACTCCCTGATACGCCAGGAGGGGTGACACCGGTCACAAGAGGCATTGTTGGGCGAGATGGGCGTTCAAGCGACGATGCACCCAGACGGGCGAGAAGGTACGCTCCAAGGCAGGCAAGACAAGCGCCAAGGTGAGGGTATCATCCATAGGGTTTCAAAAGGTCAGTATATATAAAGATTTGACTCATGCCCTTCTTATCCTCTCCATTCCATAAGCCGTTAAGAGGGTTTGTAGGAGAGGAACATGAAGGCAAGTGGGCAGTCGACGAAATTGAAGATAGACATCACAGGCCAGAGGGGGGTTAAGCGATGCAATGAATGAGGGCTTGTAGGGCGTTGGTCACTGCGAACTGCTAAGCGGCACTAGTGGGGCTGGCCAAACAACGCCCTTGGTGAGGCAGGTTTCGACGCCGGTGGGGTTGGGGAAGCTTGGGACACGCAGGGCGCTAAAAAGGCACTAGGTGATATAGGTCCATGTGGCAAGTTGGACGGCACTAGCGGTGACGGCAACATCATTGAACTTCATAATAGGTTTGGCGCAAGAGGCAGTGACGCCCGTGTAGGTGTAGTGGAGGCAACTGTGCAGTGACTTAGGCGACACCCTTAGCATTGGAGATGGCTAGCGACGACGGCCTAGGTGGTGCCCTTAGGCAACTGAAGGCGACACCAGTGTAAGAGGCGATGCTAGCTAGACAGAGGTAGGCATAGGCGCAGACACAGAGGTGGCACCAAGCACTAGCGTTGAGCACTGGTGTGCATGTCGAGGATGTGGGCAACTCCTTAAAGCTGAGTGGTCCTGGCAATGCCTTAGGCAACGCCTTGCAGTAGGTGGTCTGGGCGATGCCTTGCAGTAGGTGGTTTGGGTGACGCCACTGGGCTGTGGCCTGGATGACGCATTGGATAGTGGCCATGGACGGCACCCAATTACCTAAGTGTATAAGAAAACAATGAATAAATGACAGAACTTTGAATGACCATAATTTTGCGCTCGGTTGTCCGTTTAAAGAAATTTTTCTTTTGAATCTAGGTATTTTTTCGAGATCTACGACAATCAAATAGATAAAGGTGGTTTGGGCGACCAAATTTCCAAAAAAAAAAAAACTTGTTTCTCACTGAATTTGAATTTTAACAAAAAATTATTGAAAAAGTAGATTTTGCACGTGTCTAATTTTTGTATTTCCCTCTTCGTGAGAACTCAACTCATCTTGCATGGTCTCCAACAGTTGTTGGGATTTAGGGATAAGGTTCGCTAGTGATGGTGAGACCTTGTTGTGACGTGGCAGGTCACCTTTCGCTTTGTGGTTCATAAATTTGGTTGTGATTGCCATTGAAAGTAGGAAGACCGTAGGGTTAGAATTAAATCGGTTCCTACAAACACTGCCAAATTGATGATGCACAAAAGTGAATTTTATGCCCACCTGTCGAGTATTTAATATAGTTAGTAAATAAAGTAAATATAAAAATAAGATCAACACAAGCAACACAGGTATAGACTAATTCGGTCAAAGTAACCAACTGCATTTTGAAGGTGGCAACAATGGTCAGAGAATTTTATTGATAAAGTAGTAGGTGAGAGAGAAAAAAGGCAAGAATAAGCTCTATGTGTGGAGACCTGTCCCTCATGTGTAGATGACTTATAATTTATAGGCACAAAGTCTTAATTGAAGCGATGGCGCAAGGGATATGTCACTAATTCTTCGGGGAGGATAGCTACAGTTAAGGATATGTACAATTAAAGATAGTCTTGATCTTCGAGTAGTGGTTATCCCAATGTTTACTCCCCATGTGCGTTGACGACTTTGGGACTCTTGAAAATTGAACTTGCTAAGGCCATGAGTTGGGTCTGACCTGTATTTTGATGATTTGGGCTTAACCCATGAATTAGGTCCAAGTCTGGTCTAAATCTGGGCTCGTCAAGGTACAATAAAACATAGATCGTCAATCGGATACACTAAAACACAGATCGTCAGACTCGTACACTAAAACACATATAGTCAAACAGGTACACTAAAACACAGATCGTCAGGCTCGTACACTAAAACACATATAGTCAAACAGGTACACTAAAACACAGATCGTTAATGTACCTGTTTCTCCATAAATACAGATCGTTAATGTACATTCATCTCCATAAACATAGATCATCAAATATGTACACTCAAACACAGATCATTAGATAAGTACACTAAAACATAGATTGTTAATATATCTTATTTTCTATAAACATAAATCATTAGACAAGTACACTAAAACACAAATCGTTAGACAGGTACACTAAAACATAGATCATTAATGTATCTTCTTCTCCATAAACGCAGATTATCAAACAGGTACACTAAAATATAGATCATCAAACGTCATTATAATGTCCATATTACTTGGTTCACGAGTTGGAATTTCAAAATTGATAGACAACCTCAATAAGAAATGCAAAATAATAATAATAATAACTATATTTTAGACTTAAATCATGTGATGAAGGTAAAATGGGTAATAAAAATCAGGAACTAACTAATCTCTTAACAATCGTGCCAACACAAGGACCACATTTAAGTTTTTTCAAAAATTGGAGGATTTTTTTTTATACTAAAAAATTGATAGGACTAAAATTGGTTTAGATACCAAAGGATGAACCCTAGCCTAAGTAACTATTAAATAAACCTACCTATTTGGTGGATTTAAATAATCCGGTTGGCGTGTGTTTGTGCAAAAGACATTTTTCCTCTCAAGAATCTCGTCAAGAAGACCACATCCTTAGCTACAATTTTAGTGGCTTCAATTAGAGAATTATTCAATTTTTGCTAGTCTAAGGAGACCACTTCTTTAAAATTGTTCTTGGGAGGTTTTGAACTTTAGCTTTTGGGAACTTCGTAGTCCATTTAGCATTTGCCAGTGCTCTATCAAGTCAAAGGAGAGTGCTAGCAAACCCATTTCTTTTACTTGTCCAGGTGAGCTTGGGTCCACTACATCCAAGGTCCATCAATCCACATCCATTGACTATTTCTATGAAACGTAAGCATCTATTCAAATTCGTTGAGGTCCTGTTTCTTCTTTCATTTTGATTGGTGTAATCATTCAAATCACCGGGAAGTAGCCACGAATGGCAAAAATTATCTCTTATTTGGTTTAGGTTATTCCATAAAGCACCTCTATTCGAGGGATTTGGACTGCCATACACAGCAGAAAAAATCCAAGTGTCAAAATCCACTATGGAAATGAATGCATGGGTCGCTTGATTATTTGATTCAATGATTTGAACAGTCACCCTTGTAGGATCCCATAGTAGCCAGATGCCTACAAACCTGTCAATAGCCTCAACGATTTCTGCATTAGAAAACCCAAACTGTTGAAAGAAGTTACCCTTAGAAGTGTTTTGTACCCTGTTTTCATAATCACCACAACATGTGGGTTATGGTTGACTATTAAATCGCTAAACGCCCTTCTAAACCTTTGGTTTCCAGCTCTTTTGCAATTCCAAGACAAGATTTTCCTAGTTGTCATATTCATGAGAAAGGGGATGGGAAGATTAGGGTTCAACCCTAGGGTTGTCATAGCATCCCCCCCTCTGATCCTCTGCTGGAGGGTCTGCTTTCATGGTCACTGCTAGACTGAAAATATGCGTTCTTCTAAGCAAGATTCTTTCTGTTGTGAGAAAAACTCTCTTGATCGTCCCGTTTACTAGAGTCAGCCAAATGTCCTCCTCTTTTATTTGGAATATCAATCCTACATTGCTAGTATTGGGGTGGATTGTTATTAGAAGAGATAACTCTGCATTGTCCATGATTGGGGTCTGGTGGTTTAGGGACTTTTAGGTCTATGTTCAGTTCTTCGTGGTGTGAGGAAGAAGGTTTCTCTGGTATTGGTGCCTTCTTTTACTGTATTTAGGGCTCTGCAACTACTGAGTAGTTTTGCTAAGAGGGTAGGTGAGGGGTATTAGGCTGAGGGTTAGATGCACTATAATAGGAGTCAAGATACATAAGATCAAAGTTATCTTCTCCACCTGGGCTAGGAATACCCAACTCTAAGTTTATTGCCTTGGGAGTTGTTTCTCGTCTTTATGTCTGTTGGATGGGTCTCGATACCCAAGGAGTCATTTTGTCTTTTCGATCTCTGCAGTTTTAAGCCTCAAGCCACAAGAGACGTCCTATCTGCCTTCACCCTCTTCTTCGTTCCTCTATGTTCCTCTTGAGAACCAAAGCCTTTTATTGGCATTACTGGTTCCAGCTGGTACAGTGGGGTTCTGGTCTTGCTGTGACGGGGTATTAACCATAGGGGGATATTACTTGGGTTTGGGTCTCTTTCCCAAGAACCTAGTACTTATTATTAAATTTGGGATTACTTGTAATTAGAGCTGTCAAAATTCGACACGACACAATTAATCGATATAAATTGACACGAATTAAATAGATTTGGGTGATAAACGGGTTGACATGTCAAACACGTTTAATAAACGGATCGTGTTCGAGTGAGACCTGTCAAACTGTTTATCACACGTTTACCCGTTTAAATAAAATTAATATAATAATAAATTAATAATTATTTAAAAAAATTAACAAGAAAAAAGAAGTAAAAAAATCAATAAAAATAAAAATAAAGTAGTAGTTCAAAGACAAAGGAGAAAAGTTAGAGAGCACTTCAAAGGCAAAAGTAAACAAATATCTTTTGCTTTTGTCCCACATTGAAAAATGAGGGGAGATGAGAAGGGTTGAGTTGCCTATAAAAGACAATGACCTCTTGCTTTTATTTTTAAAGCCTTCAAGTCTTATTTTTCAAAGACAAAGGAGATGAGTTGTAGAGCACTTGAAAGACAAAGACAAACCAATGTCTTTTGTTTTTGTCCCACATTGGAAAATAAGGGGAGATAGAGAGGGTGAGTTGCCTATAAAGGGGAATAGCCTCTTGGTTTTTTTTAAAGCCTTCAAGTCTTATTTTTATGAGATTTAATTTAAAATTCCTCTTTTTTGAGGTAAGTGTAATTAATAGTAAAAAAAATGGAATATTAAAATTTGTTGATATAATTTTTTTAAAATTAAACGGGTTAAACGAGTCGTGTTGTGTTACCCGTTTATTAAACGGGTCGTGTTCGTGTTGAGATTTTTTACTGGTTTATTAAACTTGTCGTATATGGGTTTATACGTTTTTCACCCGTTTAACCCCGACATGTAACCGTTTTAACCTGACACGATTGACACCCCTACTTGCAATAGGCATAACTTTTCTTGTGTTAGGCCTTCTTCTTCTGCGTTGGGCGTACATCCATAGGCCAAAGGGCTGATCCTCTATATTATCCTCACCTATGGATGGGTCTAGTGGATTTGGTGTAGCTATCAGGTTGGATGTCGGGATTGAATTTTCTGGGTTAGCTGTTACCAGTTGTCTCTGTTATGAAACGACTTGTTTCTTTCCTTCTGGCATTCTCTGATGAGCTTGACATGCGAACATGGGGGCAATAATCACCAGAGTGGCCTATTTAACCCTAAAAATGTGAGATCCCAGCCTATAGTGAGATATGCGTGGCTAATTTAGGTCTTTTTCTATACAAACCCTAGCAAACTTTCCCCTTTCGGCTGTAGCCGTTCTAATATTGACCTTGACTGGGTTACCTAATGCTTTGGCTATCTTAAATATTGTCTTCTCTTCATAGTATTTGACTGGTAGCTTCGACAATCTAACCCATAAAGTCGTAGAGATATGTTTAACCCTAGAGGGTATGAAATCCGGTTCCCACCTCCTTACCGTAAGCTATTGATTCATAAAAATCCAAGGACCCCCTGTTGAGACTCTATGTAAATCTTCTTGAAGCTAGAAATTACAAAGGAAAAACCCATAATCTAGGTCTACAATATCAACATCCCCTTGTAGACACTAGATATTCTTGACCCTTATGCATAGTAGCGGGACTCTAGGTGGTTCTACAGTCTTCGAGTTGACACGTGAAATAATGAAGTCGTTGGGATATCCAAAGGGTGCCGAGGTAAGCCAAGGTATGGTGACACGGAGCAGTCGATTACGACAGTTGACATTGTATTTAATGCGATGTGACCCCTCATTCATGGCAGAATGAGTGATAGTGACAAGACAAATAAATGCGCGCCTGCCAGCACCTGCCCTCTGGGAGTCTAAGCCTACTGTCATGATCCGTTGAGACGACGCGATCGGCTTTCCCAAGGAACTGTTTCCCCCGAGTATTCAATGCTTAGTTGATGTCGAATGCCGATCTAGGGGATTTAGGTACTCGGGGAGTGGCATAAATGCTCGGCATTTGGCCGAGCATTTACCCCATTTTTCTAGTATTCAATAAGAGGAGACGTGAGTAGAAAACACTCATTGCACGAGGAATGATGTGTCAGATGTAAGATGTCCAGATGGGACTAGAGATCTTTGACATTCATTGTTAATTTAGGTATAAATACTCAGAAAAATGGACAAAGGTACGCAAACTTGAATCAGAAAAATAGTCCATTGAGCAAAACCCTTCAAGCTTATACTGACTTCTTAAGCTTTGAAGGAGATTAGTCGGGCGCTCGCCTGACCCCCTTTTTCTGACCCTGTTGTTTCAGGTTCGCCAGCTTGAAGATCGTTGTCTCATACTATTGTAAGAATTATCCCGTGCAATTTGACGCCGTCTGTGGGAACAAAGGCATTTTTCCTGGTAGCAATCGTCTGATGGTGAACACTCGATCTCAGGGTGAGGGAGCAGGTGTATGGGTCAGGAACGTAGAGCCCGTCCCGCTTCTAATGGTTTTGGAGCCGAGTTCATTAGGCCAATCAAATGGGGTGGGGCATTCTTCGCAAAGAACGCTCCCTATGGATCAGAGCCTTAGGGGGCGTGACCTTATGGCCCATGATATCGTTAAGATGGTGAAAAAACGGATGGACAAACGCATTAAGCAGCTTGAAAGGGAAAACGCCAAAGTCCAACAACATCTTGACGATTTCGAGCAGTCAGCGAGCGCCTAGGAAGCACGGATACGGATACGTGACACGGGTATGATACGATACGGATACGGCGATATGACAAAACTTAAAAAAATAAGGTACGGGTACAACCAGGATACGCCTATAATAAAATATATTTTATATTTTATTATTATTTAACGACTAAGAAATTATAATTTTTCAATAATTCTTTAACATTAGTAAGTAAAATTAAAAATTTTTACCATGAAAAGGTTATAATATCATCTTATTATGATCTGTTCATAAAATGAACATGACAAATTAAAGGAATTATAATAATATTTAACTAGTTGATTTTACAAGTATTTATTTTTAAAAGTATAGTGTAAGTGATTCATTTTTTTTATACCCTCTTAACATATAATAATAGATAATACTTAAAAAATACTCGTATTTTTAAAATCAGATGGAATTTTGTTGATGTTTTATATTGTATGTGAACTCCAAAGAAGGGTTATAGCTTAAAATTGAAAATTGTACATCTTACACCATGTTTAGAAGTATCCGCGAAGTATCCACATATTTTATTAATTATCGGATAATGATGATGCATATCCGATACGTATCATCGAGTATCCGACGAGTATCGTATCCGATATAGTATTGGATACGGGTACGTCGACCTTGACAAAGTATCCGTGCCTCATAGGCGAGCGCGGATGAGCATAGTCGCGGGTTTGTGGACCAAGTGCCTAGCCAGAACCTGTCCAGACCCCCTGACATTGGCCCTCTAAGAAAGATTGGATTAGGCACTCGCCTAAGGGACGTAACCGCCAAGGAGGGTTCTCGGCCTCCAAGGGAAAGTCAGAATCGGGCCAGAAGGCAAGCTTGTCCACGTGGGACCTGCTCCGGGAGATACCCGAGGGCGTCGGAGCCACCAAATCACAAGATGAGTCCATACCTCGAAGGCCTCAAGGAGAAAGATCAAAAAAGGATCCCAAGGTCCCCTTCATTGCTCAGCGCAACCATGAGTCCGAGGTCTACTCCGACAAAGTTATCTCACTGTTCGTTCGGGCTATAAGGGAGGCCTAGATGCTGAAGACGTTTACCGTCCCACGGTTCAAAATCTGTGATGGGAAAACCGATCCCGAGATCCACCTTCGACAATACAGACAATTGATGTCAATCTATGATATTGACCAAAGGGTGTTGTGCTGAGTTTTTCCTATGAGCCTAGGGTACACGGGCATGAGGTGGTATGAGAACCTTGCTCCTGAGAGCGTTAGGTCCTGAAAACAATTGATGGAGCTCTTTATAGCTCGATTCATCACCAGTAACAAGAAATCAAAGGACATCGGCGCTCTATTGACGCTTAGGCGAAAAGGGGGAGAGACACTCCAACAATATGTCGTTCGGTATTGGGATGAAGTGAATGAGGTGGAGGCATGTTTGGGAGCATTGGTTGCGGCGTCATTTAGGCTGGGGCTGTCCTGGGGCACTGATTTGTACAAATCGCTGACTAAGAAGGCTCCGGCGGACATGAAAGACTTGATGACTCAGATTAACAAATATGCTTAAGTGGAGAAAGAATCCACAGCGCCTGAAAAGCAGGGTCACGGTGCTGAAAAAAAGGGAAATGGAGCAACCGGCCCGAAGGGGAGGGTTTATTCCACCCCCAATTCGCCTATCCTTCTAGGGAGTGAACATGATCTTCAACGAGCCCATTCACATGATACTTCCCAAAATCAAAAACAAATCTTACTTCAAATGGCCCCCAAGGATGTTTGGAGACCCGTTGACAAGGAATGCGACCTTCCGTTATTTGTATCATAAAGATATCGGTCATTTGATGGAGGATTGCAAGGTTTATAAATCCTTCCTCGAACAATTGGTGCGAGACGGATACCTTGGAGAATTCATTGACAGGGGTCGTCCCGACGGGTCGGCGAGGGAGAGAGCCGAGGTGCCAACTGAGGTAGCACCCGTGATTGATGTTATTCATGCCTGCACAGTGGAGATGCTTACATATAACTCCTTCCGAGTCGAGTTACAAAGGGTTTCTCAAGCAGTCAGGGTGGACGAGAGGGATGATGAACGGTCGCCCAAGAAGCTGCGAAGCAGTGCCGAGGTTATCCATTTTTCTGATACTGATCTCAGCGGGGTAGTCCTCCCCACGAGGATGCATTGGTGATCACTTTGCGGGTTGGAAAGTTCGACGTCAAGAGGATCTTGGTGGACTCGTGCAGTTTTTCTGAGGTAATGTACGATCACCTCTTCCGCAAGATGGGACTCTCTCAGGGGGATCTGGAACCCGTAAAAACCCCCCTCATCGGTTTCAATGGTTCCAGCGCCCTGCCCCTTGGAACCCAC